AGTCCAAGGCAGGCTCCCTTAATGTGGACACGCTACCTCAACTTAGAGCCCCAGAAAGTACTGGGGAGTAATTAGTTCGAATTACTCTGGCAAGCAGTTATTTTGAAATAGCAGCATCAGAGCATCCACATTGATGTTCTTTCAAAATAACTATTTCAAACTTAGCATTATTCCCCAGAGAAAGCAGGAGTACAGATTTTTAAATAGGTGGCCTGTTATTTTGAAATAACAAGCTTGGTAGTATGGATGCTCCACTCCATTCAACCTAAGCAGGGTTATTTTGAAATAACTCCCTAGTGTAAACCAGGGCTAAGGTGCCATAGGACTATGCATTGCATGGTCAGAGTTAGAAAACTACCCACTTCAGTGTAGGCAGGAGGTAATTGGACAATGAATTAAAATAACTTGCCAATCTTTCTAAAGTATATGCTTTAATATCTACAGTAAACCATGATAAGACATAAGCATCTTACTGGATCAGTGAATGCTGCATTTAGCCATGCATACAACCCTAGAAGACTTCCAGACTTAAGGTCCAATACTGTCAATCATTGACCGAGTGTAACTGTTATATATTGATACTCTATAATGCCTGAGGGGATAATACATACATTTGAGAAAATTATTGGTAGCTCAGGATTTTTTCAGATGTCTTAAAAGGTTATATAGACACTGTAAGCAAGTTTTATTTAGGGGGAAAAATAGTCCATATAATTTTTATTACCAATATTTTGTCTACATCATAGAATAAACTGTGAAAATAAAGCAATGGAAATGCTTTTTTTTATTCTGGTTTTAAGCCAGAGGGCAAACCTGAGTTTAAAAGACATAGCAGAAATAGAGTGAGTTAAGAAACCGTGATAAAAGAGTGAGAGTGTCTAATTTACACAATATTATTAAGAGGAGGCATAAATTATACAGTATAACAAAAGGCACAGAGAAGGTAGATCAGGACAATGCAAGAACAAGACGACAAATATACAACTAATTAAGGAAATAGTTTTCGCCATGACTTACTTTGTGGAACTCAACATGAGATCAATGAGGCTAAGAAATGCATATGATTCATAAAAGGATTGGTCAAAAAATAACTAATTATAATAGTTAAATATTTATGCTTCACAGCATAAACTGGCCTCTATAAAATGGTTGTTAAGAGAAAATTTTAGTTGGGGATAGGTTACTCCATGTAATCTGACAAGAGAGAGTGAAGTGTGTATTACAGTCTTAGCTGAGAGTCACTTATCTTTTAGCTCATGCAGTTGAGAAACAAGGCTTTAGCTCCGAAGGTTGCAGCCATTGATCAGAGTCCATAATCTCTACATTTATAACTGCCCAATGCAGAGGTTCTTCACTTTCCTCAGAATCATCTGGTGGTGACCACTATCTAAAATAGAAGTCTCACTGTTCTAATTTACTATAGCAAGTCCTATATTTCTACATATAAATTGGTCTTTCCATAGGATATGGAACCAAACATTTGTCTTAGAAATTTTTGATATTGACATATTTATATGTTAGCATTAGGATGTGTCTTGTTGAAGCATTAAGCCCCATGTTTCTCATAGCTGCTATCGAATGTCTGTCAAAAATCACTAGATGAACCAATATTTGTGAGTATATAATAGCATTGCTGGCATTCTTACTAATTAAAAAAACCCTATTTCAGTAGATATTTTCATTCTAGGCCTGGTCTTCACTAGAAAATTAGGTCATCTTAACTTCATTGCGCAGGAGTGTGAAAAACCATTAAATCAACCTAAGTTTCCCTGTAGATAGCATTAGATTGATAGAAGTATTCTTCTGTTGACTTAGCTACCAACTCTTGGGGAAGTAGATTACCTATGCTGGTGGTTGAACCCCTCCTGTCAGCAACGGTAATGTCTATACTCTGAAGTGCTTCTGTAGCCTTTCATGCATAGAGACCTCTCTCCCCGGGTCTGAACATATTAATCTGGAGAGGTTATACTACCCAAGGTGTAATAGCCTAAGGAACAAAAAGAAATTTCCAATGTACTTTGCACATTAGGATTATATACATGTACTGTTAATCATCCAATCTGTCTTCTGACAAGTACAATATTTAAAAACATTTCTGGTGACTGAGTCTATTAGTATTGTACAACAGTATCTCTAACAAAACTGAAATATGTTATGCTGAATCAATAAGTGATTCAGAATGTTTCTAGCCTGTATTGTAGAATAAATCTGACTTTCTTACAATAGGACACATAATCCAAAGAAGATACATTTTGATGGGCATAAGAGTAACAGTTTTCAGTAGCTTATGTCCAACATGGAGCAGTAGCTAGAAAAAAAATATCCTTGAGTTTCTCCTTTGCTTAAGTGGGACAGAAAGTGCTGCTGTACACAGAGAGTAAGACACCTGGCCAAGCTATACGGAGCGCTGCCCTCTCCACCCTTTACATTTTTCCTAGAGCTGGCCAAGCAGTGGTCTTCTTGACCCACAAACATTTTCAAAATTTCAAAAACTGCCATTCCACAGCTGGATGAAACTAAAAACCTTCAGCTGTGTTTACACTGGCATGAATTTCTGGAAATGCTTAAAACGGAATACTATTCTGTTTTCAGTTTTTCCGGAAAAGGAGCGTCTACATTGGCAGACTGCTTTTCTGGAAAAGCCCTTTTTCCGGAAAAGCGTCTGTGGCCAATGTAGACGCGCTTTTCCGGAAAAGAGCCCCGATCGCCATTTTCACGATTGGGGCTTTTTTCCGGAAAAGACTACTGGGCTGTCTACACTGGCCCTTTTCCGGAACAGTGTCCGGAATAAGGACTTATGCCCGAGCGGGAGCAGAATAGTTTTTCCGGAATAGCGGCTGATTTTGTACAGTAGAGCATCGTTGCTTTTCCGGAAATTCAAGGGGCCAGTGTAGACAGCTCGCAGCTTATTCCGGAAAAGCAGCTACTTTTCCAGAATAAGTGGCCCAGTGTAGACACAGCCTTCATGTTTTTGTCACCAAATAAACCAACACATATACACACACGCGCACCCCACACACCAACCTCAGACTAGTCAATAATGGCAAATAGCCTGGGGATAAGAGCACGCCTAGTCCTGGTCTATACTAAGCCAGGAAGGTCTACGCAAAATGGATAGCTGGAGTTGGCTTACCTTAAGCAGAGCCATGGCAGCATCCACACAGTGGGAAGCTGATGGGAGCAAAGGTTCCCATCGGTTCCCTTACGCCTCACAAAAGGAGGAGTACTGACACTGGTGGGAGCTGCCCTCAGCATTCAGTTGAGCAGGTCTCTACTAGGTCTGCTAAATCGAATGCTAGAAGATTGTCCTCCACAGCGTTACTATTCTTGTAAGTATAGACGTGCCCATATGGTGTAGGTGTCCCAAGGTCATGTTGCTGCTCTGCCTGGTTTGACGCAGGGACTTGAATCTGGATTTCCCACATCCATGCTTTAACCGCTAGGCTAATGGCTAGTCTGAAGACAGACGGACACACACACTTGAGAAACCTTTCTAAAGTGATAAAATGAAAAGGACATACATTAAATGGGTTAAAAGCTGCCTAATTGAGAAGTCTCACAATAAACTTAAAAAACAACAAATGGTCTGGTAGTACTTTAAAGACTAACAAAACATGTACATGGTATCATGAGTTTTCGTGGGCACAGGCTACATCTGAAGAAGTGAGCTGTGCCCACGAAAGCTCATGATACCATCCACGTGTTTATAGACTAACAAAAGTGCTACCAGACCATTTGTTGTCTTTTAAATTTATCCTGTACAGACTAACTCAGCTACCCTCTGAAGGTCTCACAATGTAACTGTAAATGGGGAACGATTGAATGGTTTGTTTCCAGTGGATCTCCATAGGACTCAGCTCTTGGCCCAACATTGTTTAACATTTTTATCAATGTCCAATAAGAAAACATAAAATCATCACAGATAAAATTTTGCAGATGCAACAAAAATGGGGGGGAGGGAATAATGAAGAGGACAGGTTGCTGATTCAGAATGATCTAGATTACTTGGTAAACTGGGTGCAAGAAAACAATATGCATTTTAATATGGGTAAATGTAAACATGTAGGAACAAAGTATGGAGACTACACTTGTAGGATAAGGGGATTCAATAAAAAAAAAATTGTGACTCAGGGTCTACATGAGCTCCCAATGGGACACTGTGGCCAAAAGAGCTAATGCAATCCTTGGGTGAATAAACAGAGGAATCTCAAGTCGGAGCAGAAAAGTAATATTTGACAGTGGTTCAATTACTGCTGGAATTGTGCCCAGTTCTGATGTCCACAATTTTAAGAAAGCTGTTGATGAATTGGAGAGGGCTCAGAGATGAGCCACAGGAATGATTGGAAAATATGCCTTCTAGTGATAGACTAAAAGAAAGCTTAATCTATTTATTTTAACAAGGAGAAGTTTAAGGGTTGAATTACAAGAAGTATCTACTTGGGGAGCAAATATTTAATAATAATGGGCTCTTCAGTCTAGCAGAGAAAGGTATATTGAGACAGTTCAGTCCTTAGCAAGTATTACTAAAACCCTGGGGGAAAGGACAAAACGGGATAGGGACCCTTTGAAAATCTCTGCTTGTGGTTGTGTACTGTGACTTCAGCCTTGAAAACTTGCCCATTTCTAGCTCTCGTTCAAATGCCAGAACAACAAGTGACTCTCCCTTGTCTGCCTCAGAAGAAGGGGAAGAAATCCCCTTCCCCGAGCGGCGTGTGGTCTGCCGGTGACATTCACTAGTACACGGTGTAGATGCAAATAGCCTGGCTAGAATTGTGTGATTTTTCTGATCATTAACATCGTTGATAAATGACCTAAGTGGTTCCACACTTTTATTTACATGGGAGGCATTGTAAAGAGACTGAAAGTAGGGCTTATTCCATGAATCTAGCCATCCTTTTTACACTGGGCAGCTTGTCTGATCTCACAGATCAGGCTTGTTTTCCACTTGGAGTTTTTCCCAAGGACTAACATTGGGGTTATTTCTATTTTTCCTTCCATAGTTCGTGGTAATAGTCAGTATTATAAACTTCAAACCTCTGACCTACGATGACTACACGTTCCCTCTCTGGGCAAATCGCATTGGCTGGGGGATAGCATTATCTTCAATGATCCTGGTGCCTGCCTACATTATCTATAAATTTCTAAGCGTGCGTGGGACCTTTAAAGAAGTAAGTAGCGTGCTAATAAAATGTCATGAAATGTTATTATGAAATGAATGTGCTGGATTTGAGCTAACAGTTTGCTTCTCTAGCTCCCCAGAGACATTACTTGTTATGTGACCTTTCAGATCCAGCTTCCCAACTGGTTGGAATTATAAACTGAATTTAATACACCCTATTCCAGTTTCTAGAAAGAAATTAGTCTGCCAATATGCCCTACTGTCATTCATAAAAGGATATTTTTGATGTGTGCGCTTTTTAAAGTTGAATTAATAGATTTTTTTTCAACTGTAGAAATATATATAAATGAATGCCTTCAAGTACAGAACACGAGACAGACTCCAAATGCTTTCCCTAGACAGAAATTTGGCCCATGATTCTCATCAGGAGTGCTGTGCCCCTCTGAAAATCTGGGCACTTCACTGAGGTGATTAAAAGAGATTAAGCCACTCATCTGAAAATAAGGCTTCAAATGTTTATTATACGGTTGATATTAGAAAAAAAGTAGGAAGGAGGGTAATTATAGATTGAGCTAGTGGAATCATTTATTTAGAAGATGGCCTGACATTTTCCATTTATAGAACATGTTTTCAAATGCTGGGTGTCTACCATAAGCTGAATATTTTGGGGAAACTTTAGGCAAAATAGAAGAGCCATTACCAAAAATGAAGTTGTGAAAAATACATTCTATTTGCTGCATTGACAAAACTCGGGGAAAAGTTTTATTAGTTCTAGACCAGGCATGTCCAAAGTCCGGCCCGCGGGCCAATTGTGGCCCGTGTTCTGCTTTAATACGGCCCCACAGGTAATTTGGCAATATCTTTTATGGCCCCCAACGAATCCATATGTATTGAGATGAATACATTGTAAAATCTCAGTTAATGTCAGTTGGTCTAAATCAGTTATAAATATATTTGGACACAACATGTATACTTGGTGTTATGTTCCTGTTCATATTTTTTGAACTTAAAAGTTGACAGACAACCTTTATTACCAATAATATGTAATGTACTTTACAATGTTCCTGACATATATTTCAGCTTCCTGGATTTTTTTTTTCATCTGGCCTTCAGATATGAAAGGCAGAGTGATTTAACACCTGTTTAGATTTGTCATCCATGTGACGAAATGAAAAGTATGCTGTTTGCAATAAACTTTGCATAAAATAGTTAATTTGCATTTAATTTTAATGGTTCAAAGAATGTCAGGCAAAATGGTCGGCCCTCACGCATGTTCACTTCATTAAATCTGGCCCTTTTTGGAAAAAAGTTTGGACACCCCTGTTCTAGACCCTCGTTTGGAACTTGGAATTTGGCAGGAGTAGACTTTGTGTCAGGAATGGGCCTTTTGCTGTTCCTATGAAAATCTGCTGAAATGTGGTCAGGTGATAAGCTTCGAAAGATTGCAGTTCACAAGGGCTCAGTAAAGACTTTTTAAGGCTTGCTTGCACATAGAGTTATGAAGGTATTTAGGAATACTTAAGCTATAAATATCAGAGGGGTAGCCGTGTTAGTCTGAATCTGCAAAAGCGACGAGGAGTCCTGTGGCACCTTATAGACTAACTGAAGTGTAGGAGCATAAGCTTTCGTGGGCAAAGACCCACTTCGTCAGATGCATGTAGTGGAAATTTCCAGAGGCAGGAATAAATATGCAGGCCAGGATCAGGCTGGAGATGACCAGGTGGATCCAATCAAGGAGGATGAGGCCCACTTCTAGCAGCTGATCTGGAGGTGTGAATTCCAAGAGAATAGAAGCTGCTTTTGTAGTTAGCAAGCCATTCACAGTCTTTGTTTAATCCAGAGTTGATTGTGTCAAACTTAAAGATGAACTGTAGCTCAGCAGTTTCTCTTTGAAGTCTGGTCCTGAAGTTTTTTTGCTGCAGGATGGCTACTTTTAGATCTGCAATTGTGTGTCCAGGAAGATTGAAGTGTTCCCCTACAGGTTTTTGTATGTTGCCATTCCTAATATCAGATTTGTGTCCATTGATTCTTTTACGTAGGGACTGTCCTGTTTGGCCGATGTATATAGCAGTGGGGCATTGTTGGCACATGATGGCATATATTACGTTGGTGGATGTGCAGGAGAATGTACCAGTGACAGTATGGCTGGTCTGGTTAGGTCCTGTGATGGTGTTGCTGGTGTATATATGTGGGCAGAGTTGGCACCGAGGTTTGTTGCAAGGATTGGTTCCTGAGTTCGAGTTATTATGGTGCGGTGTGTAGTTGCTGGTGAGAATATGCTTCAGGTTGGCGGGTTGTCTGTGGGCAAGGACCGGCCTACCTCCCAAGGCCTGTGAGAGCGAGGGATCATTGTCCAGGATGGGCTGAAGATCACTAATGATGCGTTGGAGAGGTTTTAGCTGGGGACTGTAGGTGATGGCCAGTGGTGTTCTGTTGGTTTCTTTCTTGGGCTTGTCCTGTAGCAGGAGGCTTCTGGGTACACGTCTGGCTCTGTCAATCTGTCTCCTCACTTCCTCGTGTGGGTATCGCAGTTTACAGAATGCTTGTTGAAGGTCTTGTAGGTGTAGGTCTCTGTCTGAGGTGTTGGAGCATATGCGGTTGTACATTCTCCTGCACATCCACCAACGTAATATATGCCATCATGTGCCAACAATGCCCCACTGCTATATACATCGGCCAAACAGGACAGTCCCTACATAAAAGAATCAATGGACACAAATCTGATATTAGGAATGGCAACATACAAAAACCTGTACGGGAACACTTCAATCTGCCTGGACACACAATTGCAGATCTAAAAGTAGCCATCCTGCAGCAAAAAAACTTCAGGACCAGACTTCAAAGAGAAACTGCTGAGCTACAGTTCATCTTTAAGTTTGACACAATCAACTCTGGATTAAACAAAGACTGTGAATGGCTTGCTAACTACAAAAGCAGCTTCTATTCTCTTGGAATTCACACCTCCAGATCAGCTGCTAGAAGTGGGCCTCATCCTCCTTGATTGGATCCACCTGGTCATCTCCAGCCTGATCCTGGCCTGCATATTTATTCCTGCCTCTGGAAATTTCCACTACATGCATCTGACGAAGTGGGTCTTTGCCCACGAAAGCTTATGCTCCTACACTTCAGTTAGTCTATAAGGTGCCACAGGACTCCTCGTCGTTTAAGCTATAAAAACACTCTATACCTTAATCCAAATTAACTTTCATGTAGGTAAGTTGTTAGAGTTTGCCATTAGATTCCCCAAAGATTCAGTCCACACAGGGGTGCTTGAGCCTCAGACTGAGCATATCATTCCCTACAATTGCAGTTCTGGGCTCCTGCAGGTTCTGCCAGGCACCTAAACTGAGAGCAGTGAAACTATCTCAGCTATGCTCTCAGTGACACCCCATGCTGGGCTTAGGCAGCCCCCTGATTGGAAAAAGCAGGACTTGTGAGGGAGAAAGGGGGAGTGGATTGGGACATGGACAAGGGAGTAGTGCAAGTCTGTGGGGGGTAGGGACGGGACACTGGGATGGAGAGTTAAGTTGGTATGGAGGCTGGGAGTGGCTAGGTAAGAAGCTGGGGGCTCAGAGGTAGGAAGGGAAATGGAGGGATACCAGTACCAGTGGGTGTGTAAAAATGAACAGTGGCGGGGGAGCGGGGAGAACTGGAGGACACTAAGACCTGATGAGGAGCACTGGGAGGCAGACTGGGACTGAGGCTATGTCTAGACTACAGGCTTCTCTTGGAAGAAGCTTTTCTGGAAGAGCTCTTCTGAAAAAACGTCTTCCAAAAGAGAGCGTCCACACTGCCAAAGCGCAATGAAAAAGCGATCTGCTTTTTCAGAAGAGAGCGTTCACACTGAATGGACACTATCTTGCATGTAAGCTGTGATTACTATGGATGGAATGGCCACCAGGGCACCTGTGCTTTTTCCTCTTTCCTCTTCTTTCGAAAGAACTTCCTCTTCCCCGTCCACACACTCCTTTTTCTGAAAGAGCTCCTTCACAAAAGGCTTCTTCCTCATAGAAAGAGGTTTACCAATATCGGAAAAACCCCTCTGTTCTTTCGATTTTTTTTTTTCTCGAAAGAACGCAATTGCAGTGTGGACGTAAATAAAGCAGTGTAGACATATCTGAGATTCTGTGAGAATGGGAAACATGGACAGATATGCTGGGAAGGAAGGGATTCCTGGGCCAGGAAATTGGTATGGGGAATCCAGAGGGGTGATTGTGCTGCCTGATTTGCAGTAGGTAATTGACCTAAGTTTTACCCATCACAGGTGAGTGCCCTAGATCACTAAAATCTTGAGGGGAGCAATTCAAGCTCTCACTCTCTCTCACACGCACGCACACACACTTTGGTGAAAGTTCTCTATTTTGTTTAAAGTTGTTATGAAATGGAATTCTGGTTTTCCATTTAGCGTTAGTAATAAACAAGACAGGGGACTGCAGGAAGGAAAAAGAGGGTCTTGTGGTTAAGACAATTGAATGTTGTCCTGGGGGATTGGATTCTACTCCACCTCTGCCACGAAGGGCCTTTGTGATGCTGGCCAAGTCACTTAAAACAAACTTTACCAGGTGATCATTAATTGGTCCTCATTTTACTGGGGCCTGACTTAAGACCCTGGGGCTTGATTTGCAGATGTGCTGAACACTTAGAGCAGCAACTGGAGCCAATGGGAGCATTGCTTTGAATATACATGGTGAAGTGCTATGTAATGCTAAGTGTGCTGAAAAATTCGATCCCTGGCATCTCAAAATGGGCACTTACTATTAGTGAATACTTTTCACTCTGGGTGCCTGAGTTCCCCAGCATCCCGATGAGAGAAACACCTCTGCATTTAACAGGGGCGCAGAAAAATAAATTAATGTTTGTCTGCTGCTCAGATACTATAAGCTCACAGGGAAATTAATAGTTCTGTCTTCAGAGTAGGGTTTGAATAACATGCAGTAAATAAGGTATAAGGCAACACACTGAGGAGAATACTGAATAGCTGCTCGTATATTAAACCTCATTTGTCCTATGCGTTGACTGAGGCAGGCATCTTTTGGCAAAACTAGTAAGGAAAGACTATCACAATACTAACACAGAAAGGACCTGAAAAAAGGTTCCATAGGCAAGCCTAACTTTGCTACCTTAAAAATGTTCTTTTAACATAGTGTTATTGTGTGTAATGTTAATCTAATGTATTATTGTTCTGTTTAAGAGGAACCTGGTTTCTATGGTGAAAAAAATATCTAATTATTTTTCATTACAATTTCACTGCTCTGTACTTTCCTCAAATTACTAGTTCAAAATGACACAAGATTAAGATTCTCTGATCATATGAATTTTCTTATCACTGTCACTGAAAATTCTTATTCATGCTCCAAAGGAATCCACAAATAGGGCTTAGAAAGTAAAGCCACCTTTAGATCTGTTTTCAGCTCTTTAAAAATACCAAACATACTACTAAGCCATTGAAATGTAATATTGATTGTTTTATCTTCCATCCAGTCCAACACAGTTTGAATAAGATCTGGTTTATTGCAAACAGTAGGATTCCAATCATAGTATCTATCCATAATCTGAAAAACTGCCCCTTGGTTTGTCAAAATTCAGACTGCCACAAAGAAGCATTTTATGATTTCTCAGGGAAAAAAATGATGATAACCATTTATCTTGCAACAGTTTTTCCTTTCTTCTCAGCAAATAACACAAACCATTCTCATTTTTCACGTGTTCTGCTTGTAGTGGTTCTATTGACATCAGCAGAAGATCTGTGTGTAGAACAAGTATAGCAAATGCACTATGGGTTTTATGCAAAGCTTGGTGAAACCAATGGAAAGGTGCCAATTGATTTCAAAAGGTTTTGAATCAGGCCCTGTAGCTCAGATAGAATGTAATTCTCTTTTAAACCTATGGTGCAAGTAGAGTTGTGAGAGAGCCTATGTTAGGACAAAAGAAAAGTAAGAGATACAATGCCATAAGTGCAACTTGCATGCACAGGGGAGTAAGAAGAAGCAGGATCCTTCTTACACCGCTGTGCAGGCTACTATACTACATGCATGGAGAAGACAGCAGTCGCTGCTGGTCCTCAATTCCTTCTCCGGCTCAGGGGGGATGAGAATGGGCAGGGAGCAGATGAACACTTGACTCCACCCCAACACACACCAGGTTATTTAGCAGAACTAGGGCAGATAGGGAGCCAGGAACCAGACTGAAGCCCTGAGTTCCAATCTGATTCCTGCACTGCCCTTTATTTCCACTGCTTTTGCAGGGCTACAGTCTTCTCCCTTACAGTCAATGTTGTGCAAAACCTTGACTTTCATTTCACAAGGGTTTGTGCACACCCTTTCTTTTGTGCAAATCTCTTGAGTTTGCAAATCCCTTTCAAGCAATACCAAAACCTCAAAGCAGAATTCACTCTTGCCCACTGAGTTTTGCCTGCTTGCACTAGCGGATGACACAAAACCATAAGTCAAACTCAGGTTTGCTCACAAAGATTGAACCTTACCAATTAAAGAAATAAGAGGGCTGATGATAAAGCTATGCCCAAACTGTTTACTGTAAGATAGAAAGAGCTATATTTCAGCTATGCAGCTTGCAATAGTGGGAGCAAAGAGGCTCACTACAGGGGGAGCTCCTAGAGCCCTTTTCCCAGGTTGGGAGGGCGGGTGAGCTAAAATTTAGCCTTAAGTACTTGCATAAACATTTTGCTACTGCTGTGAGATTAGGACTGCCATCAAGAAGCTTAGGGTACACTGTGTTCTCTCAATTATTAGGTCTTTTCCGGATTCAATAATATTAAAAATTATGTCACCGATGTATATAAAACTCTCACTACTTCCCTGTAAATCTGCCATGATCCGCAGCTCTAACTCATTAAATGTGGCTAATTTTTCCCTCTGCCTCCTCCCTGTTTAGAGGCTAGCTTACTGCATCACACCTGAGAACGAACACCATCTTGTGGCACAAGGGAACGTGAGGCAGTTTAAGGTATGTATTCCTTCTCCATACCTCCTTCCCTGCTTTGCTACCTTTTGCATGCTTAGCAAATTTGACTAGCAAATGAAAATCGGTCTGTTTCTTTTCTGCCTTTTTGTCAGTATGTTGCTTTGTTGCTGAGAAAATTCCAAGTCTGTTGGCCTAATACAGGGGTGGGCAATAATTTTTTGCCAGGAGCCACTTAAAAAATTTTTGAGATGGACCCGGGCCACACTGGAGCAGGCGGGGCCTCAACAGATGGGCAGGGCCAGGATGTTTCCGGGCTTCTCCCCCCACAGACAATGATTGATCTGGAGGTAGGGGAGCCTCTTTGCCCCCCACAAGGTTCCCCCTAGGCACCCATGTCCCTGGCAGTGGGAGGAGACTTCCCCCACCCCCGGTCAATCAGGGCTTAGGGACCGGGGAGCACATGAAGTCTCCTCCCGCCTTGCCAGGAGCGTGCAGTGCTTCTAAGTGCCGCACGCTCCTGGCAGGGCACAGGAAACTTTGCCCGCTCCACCCGTCCCCAGGCCCTGATTGGCCTTGGGGTGTAGGGGAGAGTGTGTAGCCTCCTCCTGCCCTGCCAGGAGTGCGCGGGGGTAGGGCAGAGGAAACTTCACTTGCTCCTCCCACCCCCAGGTCAATCAGGCTCCTGGTAGGGCAGAGGAAACTTCATGCGCTTCCTTTGCCCCCAGGTCCTAATTGGCCTGGGGCTGGGAGAGCGTTGGGGCCTCTGCAGGCTGGATCAACCCACTTGGTGGGCCGGATCCAGCGTGTGGAGGCCCTTTTGCCCACTCCTGGCCTAGTACGACTTCTGATACCTGTCTTTTACCATTGTAACAATATAACCTTCTAGAACCCACCAGCGATCTAGTTTTAAGCATTTTTGGTCATATGTGATCATGGTGAAATCTCATCAAAGGACATTTTGCAATGACTGATTCCAGACCATCATGCAGTTTAAAAAAGGTTTTGAGACGATTCTCCCCTCCCAGAATTTTTTTCATAGGGATCTAGATTGATGGTTTCTACCTCAAACTCCAAATATGACAAAGAAGTGAGCAGAGATTCTATGATAAGATCTCACTTACAAAATGGTCGTGCTGAGATGACCTGATTCTGAGAGAGAACAGGTTTTCTGTATATGCTTATAGATTTAACATGTTCCTTCATTTGCATGGAATTATGCACAGTGAGTCAAAACCTGACCTGATCTATAAATATAATGTGAAAATTTGGCTTTGTTTGAAACAAAAGTAAGAAATGGAACATGCAAAATACCTGTTATATGTGAATGAGAATTCTTTCTATATATTGTAGAGAGTTATAATATAAATATCTTCCTATATATTTTAATGCCTCTGTCAGTGATTTTGACTCAAGTTTTCAAATGTGTGTTTTGATACTTTCTCTGTATTTATTGCACACATACATGCACACATGTGTTATGTGCACAGTTCTGAAAATTTGAACCCAAATATATCATAGTTAAAAGTACATTTTCATCAATTTTGGATTTAAATTACAGAGTTTGGGGAAATATACAAAAACTAGAGGTAAATTTGAACAGAACAGGAATGGGGTTCTGACAGCAGAGTTCTTGGATGATGTGTCAATCACTGAGGCCTGAGTTATTGATTCCCACATTGCTACCACCACCAATAGCAGAAAAATAGTCATGGTTGTTTGAACATTAACCTTGTTTAAGCATCTTAACAAAACATTAAGCAGTGTGCCCACCTTATGATGCAACTAGTATCATGGTTATGTTTCTCTAATGTCCAACTGTTGTCCATTTTAAACTGTCTGATTATTAAATGATCAATGTATGAGACAAGCTGGTTATTAACAGAAACTGGGATTCTTTTTGTTGATAGTCCTGGTAGTCACCTTGTCCTGGTTTTTCCCCAATTCAAGATTTGTCATCTCCCTTATTTTATACCTGCTCTTATCAATATAATTTAGCTCAATAATAACATTATCAAATAAATAATTGCTTCTGTTTCCTTTCAGCTTCAGCACTGGCTAGCAATCTGACTACTGACTGACTGAGGAAAAAGCCAATGCATTAAACGAAACTAGGGGTAAATGAAAAGTCAAGTTCAAAGCTCTCCTGATTGTGCTTGGACCAGTCTGGCTTAGAGTCATCTACTGATTCCTTTGAGGGAAAGCAGCTTCTGCTCTCTGTTTCCCATGCCTCCTTTCTCTTACTTGGTTTCACATGAACTTACAGGCTGGTTCTCCATTTCCTTAGACCTTTCAGTGCCATGAGATCTATACTTGACCAAATTTGTGAACTTAGACAGAAATAGAAGTGGAGAAGGGAGCAGAAAAATGAGCATTAATTAAAGAAACTCTTGTCTTGGAGAAATAAATAAATAACCGAGTTCCTTTAAATATTCCTGCCATAGCCTTGTTTAGACCAACTATATACATGGAGGTGGATGCATCTCAGTTATGAGACAAGAGTGACTTTAAGTGCACAATCATGTCATTTGCTTTCTTTCAATACTATCCTTTTGGATATAATTTTGCATCCATCTGAAGTGAAGAATCAGTGCTTCACTTTCAGTGGTTTGTTATTAGTCTCTTCTCTTAGTGAAGAAGGTTGTCTTTACTGTATATGTGTGTGGCATTTTCCGTGCAGTTGAACTATACATACTGAAAAGTAACAGGTATGGAATTAAATTCCTATTGTTATGGTTACTGAGTGCAGAAAATACAGGTTGAACTTCTCTAGTCTGGTACTCTCGGGTCAAGCAACATCTGTGGTCTGACCTGATTTGCCAATGTCCGCTTATCATGGGTGTGGCCAAGTTTCCCTTGGTCCCATAGAGTTTGTTTATAGCCACCAGTCCTGGCTCTCACTGTTTTGTGCTGTTATTTAGCTCTAATTTATCCCTAAATGTCTTCTGAGATCTCAGTAAGCAGTGGAAATGTTGGTTTTTCAGTTAAACAATATGGTCCTCCCGTGGTTCGGCAAATTCTCAAGTTCAGCATAGGTCAGGTCCCCAGGGTCCCGGACTAGAGATCTTCAATCCGTAGTTTTAACAACAGAGTTTACTTTTACAGTTCAAGCATATTCCCATATGCCAACTATTAAAATGGCTTTATCAGATGATCCATATTCTATAGATTCTGAATTAAGCGCCAAAAATATTTACTTGTCAGATTTTCCTTCTACATTCTGTTATATTGTGTGATAAAGAATGTATAGTATATATAAATATATCGGAACAGAGACCATGATTTTTAGAATAAGCCACTCTATCTAATGGCACCAAAATGTCAAATGTGGCTATGTGAGAGTGCATTATTTATAATAAATGTCCTCTTCCAAATGTTCAACTTCCAAAATGTTGTCAGATTGCGTAAAACATCTTGGATGGAGGGGTCTTCTAGGCATAACTCTATTATCTAGGCATACTCCCTCGCTTGTCTGTTTCAAGTAGTTTTATGCAAGCTAGAAAATACAGAGCAAACTTAGTATGATTGGGTGCTGTTTTGAATGGTCAATGTTTTAAAGTTATATCTTCCCGGTGATCACTAGGGGTATGTCTAGACTGCACCCTTCTGCCGGCAGAGGGATGCAGATTAGGCAGGTTGAAATTGCTTATCGAGTGGGGATTTAAATATCCTGTGCTTCATTACCATAAAAATGGATGCCGGTTTTTCCTCTCACAGATCTTTGTCAGAGAAAAGTGGCAGTCTAGAGACTGATCTTTCGCTAAAGAAAGCCTTTTCCGATAGATCCCTTAGGCCTCGTAAAACGAGGTATACAGGATCTGTTGGAAAAGGCTTTCTTTAGCAAAAGGTCAGCCTCTAGACTGCAGCTTTTCTCCAACAAAGCTCCGAGCCAAAAAAAGTGGCAGCCATTTTTATGCTAATGAAGCACAGGATATTTAAATCCCCGCTTCATTAGCAATTTCAACTTGTCTAATCTGCATCCCTCTGCGACAGAGGGGTGCAGTCTAGACATACCGTAGATTGCAGTAACTGTAAATTACTTATTACAAAAGCTATTCTAAATTTTAAAGAAAGCAGGTTCTCGGTTGAATCTAGTCTGGAGTTAGCACCGTAATGCTGAATTTCTTTATCTTTATATGTTCAGTTCAGTTTAATGGCTTTTTAAATATATGAAGTGTTTTCTTTTTCAATGGTTATTTATATTTTTTTAATTCTTCATTTTTATAATACCATCCTGGAAGTCTGAAAATAAAACTTTTCCTTTTTGTCTTTTTCCATTTAACAATCGCTGACTTCCTTCAAACACCCAATGTTTTAATAGACTTGAAATATATCTGCTTCTCTTTTTACTTTATCATTTATGATTGAAAAGCCAAAAATATTTAACCGTTCTTAAAAAAAGCTTCTCTTCTATTTTCAGTGTCTAAGTGACAAAGTGTTGACATTGTGTCACCCTGAAAACACCCTGAAAATACAGGGTTTTAAAACCATTGCCAGCTTTTTACCCAAACAAATGGACAATAATCTGGTAGGATAAATAACTTATATACAAAAATCAAGGAGTTTAAAATGCTAAAATTAAAAGTTCTGTAAGTACTGAAGAGTCTAAATGATACCTTCTATAAAGAGGAAAATTAATTAAGGATTCTTTTTCAAATAGTCATCATTTAGTCACTCTAACATTGCTTCTAAAAATTATGCTGGGGTCCTTATTTTGTAGATAGAAATCGTAAGTTGCTTGCACAATCGTTGTTCTGAGGGGACTGAAAAGCTTCTCAGAGCAGGCTTATGGCTATCAAATTGAGAAATATTGAGGCATTTCTAAATGCACAGATCTTAATATGTCATCACATCATATTCCTTTGGATCTGCACATAAGTGTTAAACTTCCATGCTAACAACCTGCAGAAAAGTTTATTTGTGAAAATCTATCAATATACAGTGAAATGGCTACACATATAATGAACATGCAGCTAAAGCTAGTGTAATTTTCCTTTTTTCTACATGAGGGATATTGGCTCCAACCAGCATGTTAGGGCCTGATTTTGCAAATACTGGGTTCTTATTATTTTAATAATGGTAGTTCTTACTACTGTTGTGAATAATCTCCATTGGTGGAAATTATTATTGATTTGTATTGTGGTGTCATATTCTGACTCCATTTATGGAGCAGACTAGGCACCATACAAACAGAACAAGAAAACACTTCCTGTCTAAAGATGTTACAATTTAAGGGCTTGCCTAAACTTGACATGTTACAGTGATATAACTGCACTGCCGTAGATTTTCAGTGTAGACATTCCCTATGTTGGCAAGAGGGGTTCTCCCCTGAGCATAGTAATCTACCTCCTGGAATGGTAGCTTGGTTGGTCATCTACCTAGCACTATCTATACTGGGGGTTAGCTCAGTTTAACTATGTTGCATATAAGTGTGGCTTTTTCACATCTCCGAGTGACACAGTTGGATTGACCTAACCTTTTAGAGTAGACTAGGCCTAAGTATTAAAAGATAATAGGCAGAGCTGAGAGAGAGAAAGCAATTCTATTACTAATGGCTCTACTCAGGGTAATAAGTGATTGCATGATTGATCCTTATTTCAGTGTGTCAGCCAGAAGGATTTTTTCACAATGAATATACGGATTTGTTCTGTCCCAGAGACAGAAAATGTTGTCCCTGATTTTACATTAAATGGGAGCACATAAAGTCATGTATCACATGACCTGGATTACTGCATCAGCTAACTAAAGTTAAAATCTCAGTGAAAATTATTGCTGCTCAGCTTTTAAGTTAGCCCAGATTCAACTCCTGATCCCATATAGCCATCAACTTGAGCTGCTAAATTGAGTTACAAACCAATTGGCTATGTACATTGCTATTTGAACCCAAGTTAGCTAACATGTGTTAGCTAATCCAACTTAAAAAAAATCACACTTTTTTTCTATTTGTGCTCTGTGACTTGTTTTTAGAAATGCTTCTTTCAGGGCTAGCTAGGTGAGGAGCTCAGTGCCATGTCTCATGCTCCTGGATAGTTCTTCACTGTCTGACTGAAATTAGAGATGAGCAAAATTTTTCATACAAAACCTTTTCTGGGAAAAATACAAATTTGATGACACCAGAACATTTAGCAAATTAATCTCAGTTTCCCTGAAATATTTTGATTTAAGAAAATATTCTGAAATTCATTTTGGCTTTTATGAAACAAAATAATTCAATTTTTTGGTTCATAACTACTTTTCATTTAATTTTTTATTTTTATTTCTTGTTTTTAAACACTATTAAATGGTCAAAATCAACATTGAATATTCAGCTTTGTTGACGTTTCATATGACACTAAACTCGTTTCTTCCAATTTTTGGAATTACCATCAACCTCTCTTCCCCTCAGCATTATTTTCCCAGTTCTAACTGTGAGTTAGGATCTAGTCAGGATCCACACTGGCTCAACAAGCTGTAAAAACACCTAGCAGGTAAGAAGAGAACTTGCTTTTCCTTCTTATTCTCCTATTGTAGTTTAGCAGCACTGTGAGTTTGGCAAATATCTGCTATTTTCCACCACACCATTGTTAAACCCCTCAAAATCTGGATTTCTAATGGAAACCCAGTGAGCTGTTTAAGTTAGCAGTCTATAAATTACCAGTATGATTGAATGCTTAGCCTTTGTTTGAACCACACAAAGCTGTATCTTGCCTTCTCTCATGTTTTGGGGCATACACATTGGCAACACTTGAAAGGTATTTTGCCCTAGTGAGAGATTTTGCAGGAAATCTAGGATAAATATAAAGTGAAGGGATAGAAACACTTGGTCATTGCTATTGTAAGTGTTCTGCAATTGCCCGTGTAATGCATGTCGTATGTAATTTTCCCAGAGGAAGCTCCCTCAGTTGACCTTTCCACAGTAAGATGAAACAGCGATAAAACAGCCAAATTCAAACATCTAACATATACATTTCTCTTCTTACATTGTTGTTTAGAGACGAGTTTAAATTATTTTTTCCACAATTTAATAGGAGAAATGGCACATAGAAAATGATCTAATTTCTCAAACAAAAAGTTGTTCATTTAACATTAATTTGGATTCAAATGGGATGAATAAGATAGACAGATAAATTACAGTTGTTTTTGAGGGACTGGATTCAATTGGTGGGTGTTTAAAATGTTGTCTTATTGTGTGTTTTTAAGCCTTGTCAAACATTTCCTTAAACACAGTGAATAGATTTAGTGAATCAACTCAGAAACATAGACCAAGAATTTCTGATTTCACTTGTGATTATTGCTCTCCTTTGAGTTCAGACATTTAAAAAGGATCCTAAGATAGGACTCGATAAAGTGTCTCAAATTGGGCTCCCAGAATCATTGATTTTGTGACTCTTGGCCACAGCACAGACACAAGCAGATTTTCTAATAAAATCCTTGGAGATTTTCATCCAAAGGGAAATGTCTTTGCATTCTGTATTGATTGGCATGACTCATTCTGTAACTGTGACAGCTATTCAGTTAGACATCAAGCAACTGTGAACTGTAGAATGACATTCTTGCTGTTGGAATACACACAGTTCAGAAGAAGGAGGGGTAAAAATGACCTACACCTTCTAGAGCTGCTTCTGCAGAGCTGGTCTGTCTGCATTAAGAGCTGCTTCAACAGCATGAGGCCTGTTTTATAACAGGGCTAATAGCTCCAAGGAGAGGATCCGTACAGTGCTTGAGCATCAGGCCATGGCCCCTTTTATCTGTCACACTGTAAAGAGAGAGCTTAGGAATGGTATAAACACTCCTACCTACCTGTGCTCTGTGTCAGAGTCATCTTTATACAGAGATGAGGAGCCAAGTATTGGCTGCACCAGATTATGTCAGGAGAGAAGTGCAAAGTAGTTGCAAAACCTGATTCTTCGGCATTTAATTTGTGGCAAATAAAAACAACCCACCTAGTTTTAAACTCAGTCCTCTGATCCCTCCTCTCCCCCATCCCCATTTCTCTTTCTTTGACAAAGGAGCGTATTTTAATGAAAAGAAATGAATCTAAAAAAGTCCATTGGGGGGGGTTTCTGTGCTCTAGAACTGAGAACTCGACATACTTTTGCAGTCATGTTTTTTATTTCAATCAAGGTATTGGAATGCAGCGCCTTGGACTGCACTACAGTGAGTTGTTTTGGTTTGTTGTTTTCTAAGAATCTTTGAAGGCTGAGGTAGGGATAATATTAGTAAATAAGACTAACCACGTGTGCACTTGTTCTTTAGCTTTAATGAAAAATGAAATGAACCTGTTTTTGCAGGTGGCCTAATGGCCTATTCTGAGAGGGAACGTGGTGCATGTATAGCTGATTTGCTAAAATTATTATTTAGATAAAAATGTTTCTGAACCTGGTTCGCCCACTTACAGTGCATGAAGGTCACATAATGGGAGTGAACACCTAGGACTTTTGCTCTTTGTATATCACACTTGATTGACTATATGGATCTGATAAGGAATGGGGGAAAAGGTAGACTATCTGGCTCAAGAACAGGCACTTCCTTCATCTGAACCTCTGGACTTTTGTGAACGGAAGTTGACTTACTTTTTTACACTGGCACTAAAACCAAGTTGTGATTCAAGAAATCATAGAATCATAGAGCTGGAAGAGACCTCAGGAGGTCATCAAGTCCAGCCTCCTGCCCAAGGCAGAACCAATC